CAACCTTGGTTTCAACAATTCTCGCTCATATAAACCCTCCTCTTTCTCGCTAATTAGACTCCTGGAGCTCCACCCAGGGCCTAGTCGTGGATGTCTGCATCCAGATTCCTCAGTCCTTGGATGAGGTTTCTGGCACAACTATTAGGGTGTTTGGCCATCCCATCACCAGAGTAGGTCAGTCCCGGCTGTCTCTCAGCCATTGCAAGCAGTCTCTTGTGGAGGTATCTTTGTGGATTTCTGTGGGCCTCTTTAGCACATTGTTTCTTCCTTTTCTCATGTGGTCTTCATTTACCATGGTCTTACACATATAATATTGAGTTTTTAGTAAATATCTGAAAACTCTCAAATAATTATTTAATTGCATTTTGCTTCTCTTCAGTCTGGGGAGCATTATTAATTTCAACAACTTGAAAACACTTATTTTCTTTCTTTTTTTTTTTTTACAATACAATTCAATTCTACATATCAGCCACGGATTCCCTTGTTCTCCCCCCTCCTGCCTCCCTCCCCTTCCCCCCAGTCCACCCTCCATTCCCACCTCCTCCAGGGCAAAGCATCCCCCAGGACTGAGATCAACCTGGTAGACTCAGTCCAGGCAGGTCCAGTCCCCTCCTCCCAGGCCTAGCCAAGCGACCCTGGATAAGCCCCAGGTTTCAAACAGCCAACTCATGCAATGAGCACGGGACCCGGTCCCACTGCCTGGATGCCTCCCAAACAGATTGTTGAGACCAAGGTTGGATAAAGCACAGGGACAAATAGCCAAATGAATGGAAACACATGAACTATGAACCAGTGGCTGAGGGGCCCCCAACTCAATCAGGCCCTCTGAATGGGTGAGACAGTTGAAAACACTTATTTTCATCAGGACGCAAAAGACCTCCTTTAAGTTATAGGTTTTTTTTTCTTCTCCCATTCTTAGATCCCACTTTTATCTACCCTAATTCCACTCAATAGCTTTACTGGACCTATTATGTTTAAAATATTTCTAAATATTCGCATACCTGTTAAACCTATAGTTACTTCTGTATATATGTGCTTTTGGTTTATGACAACAGCAGATTGTAAAGTTCTATTTGTTCTTTATGGTTTCCACTTAATCATGGGAATTTCCATCTGTTTGAACCACTGCAGCATGTGAATCCACCATAAGTAGTCATTGTATTTACCTCATCTCACTAGGTTGCTGTAATTTCCCACTGCCACAAGGAACACATGCCCCAGACATACACAAGTATATACACAATACACACAAAGGAATGCTGTCAATAAGTCTTTAAAAATTTTTCTGATATGTAACCAGAAGTAGATATGCAACTTGAAAAATATACCAAAAGAATTTCTAAATGTTTAGTTTGACCAGAAATACAAGAAATCCAACTTTCTGCCTAACCAACACTTGGTAATGTGCTCTTGCTTAATTTTTATCATTTTTATTAATATACATTAGTTATTCATTGCTATAATTTTTATTGCTTGATAACCAGTAGGTTTGAGCATCTCTTCTTATATCTAGGAGGTGTTTAGGCCTCCCTTTCCATGAATTTCCTACTAGTACATGCCCATTCTGCAATGGCTTTCCAGATCATTTACTATTGATATGTAGACATTCCTTTGTCTAGCCTTCAAAGCTTGTAGATGTTACCTAGGAATAGTGGCACCACTTGGAATGCAAAGACAAAAGAATCTGGAGTTCAAGGTAGTCCTCAGCCATATAGCAAGTTTTAAGCAAACCTGGGATATATGGAACCATTTCAAAAATTCAAATATTAAGCATTACCAGTACTTTCTTGTTGTTTCTCATTTACCTCATAAACTTGTGTATATTTTATTTAATTTTGATTTAATAAAACTTACACTTTTTTATCTTACATATGTGTCTTCAGGGTAAACCTAAAAAAAACTATAGTTCCCAAGCTACAATAATAATTTCCTACATTTTTATGTTAGGAAATTATCTCTCTTTATATACATATACATATATTTACACACTATTTATAGATATCACGTGTATCGAAATGAGTACAGAATAATCATTCATCAGTTAACAAGAAAGATGGCCTTCAACCTCACCATTCTTTGAATAGATCTTCCTTCTCAAAACAAGAGGGAAAAAAAAACAAATATCAAAGCGAATGAATTTCAATAGAAAAGATAATTATTTCAGAATTGTTGCTTGGATGGAACTATCAGAGAAAAAGAAACCATAACATTCCCCTACACTAGTTATCATTAACTGTAGTGTTAGGATACACTCACTGAGACAGAAAAAAGTCAAGATAATTTATTACTCCAGACGTGTTTTCCAAAACTCTTTCTCTGTATCTTTAGAACAAAATGTCCATTTAAGCTCCGAGTAAGGAGTTCGTTACTGCTGTGAGATTACAGTTCAGGAAAATGCATCAGTGAGATGTTGGTGGTAAATTCAAAACACATTATATGAAATCCTCAAAGACCTAATATAATTAAAATGCAATCCAAATACAAACATATGAAGTGCTTGTGAATCCCCTACTTAAAAGCATGTTTTTGTTTTCATTTTTAGCTACTCTAATCCTCTGCAATGGACTGCCACCTTTGGTGTTTCTACAATACGTCCTCTCTTAAGAGTGAGAGTAAGGGCTATTATAGCCCATAACAATTACAGACCCACAACTCGTGATAATGATATTGCAGTTATACAACTTGAAAGACCTATCACCTTTAGCAGAAATATCCATAGGGTGTGTCTCCCAGCTCCAACCCAAAGTATCATACCTGGTTCTGTTGCATATGTCACAGGATGGGGATCACTCACCTATGGAGGTAAGTGTCTCTGGAAAATAAAACAGCTTAATGACAATTCTTCTGTTATTTGTTACTATGTAAATTTGTTTTTTAGTTTTGACACAGGGTCTCACTTTAAACCAGGATGGTTTGGAATTCATTATGTAGCCCAGGCTGGCCTCAAATGCATAATCCTCTGCTTCAGCCTCCCAAATGATGGGAATATGGGCATATACCACTATGTCCAACTTTGTAAATTCTTGGGTATGGAAACAGGCTTAGGACAGCCTCTAATACAGAACCATCTATATCTGATCATCTCTGACTCTAGCTACAGCTGTTGCCTCAGGAATGTAAAACAAGCAATATGCTTAGAAACCATAGAGAATTCTAGACAGAGGATTTCTAAAAGAGGAAAATGTGAAAGGAAGGAATGCAGAAACGTAAGTGTAGGGGCCTCAAAGTCAGCTCAAGACAACCCAAGACTAAGTTTTCAGCACAAAGGAGATTTATTTGTCCCAAAAGGGCAGAGGACAGGGATAAGGGACAAAGATAAGAGAAAGAGAATGAGAGAGAAGAAGGGAACAGGGAGAGGGGAGAAAAGGGGTAAAGGAGAGGGTGAAGGTGTATTTGTCCCAAAGGAACAAAGGACTGCTTCTGGATAGAGAGGAGACAGACATGGCCCATAGGCAAATGGCTGTTTATAAAGGTAAAAGAGGAAACCCTGCATTAGGTTAATTTTAATTGGGCATGTTAATTAAGGGGCCATAAAGGGAACTTTTGATTGTCAGACTTCAATACTTTGCTAAACTTTGGTAGTCAGCCTCAGGAGGAGGAAGTGGCCAAACAAGGGAATGGACCTTGGGGGCTAGCTTTAGGATTGTAATCTAACAGTTTTTCAGCAAGGCAGAGGGATGAGGGAGAAAGGCCAAGTCTGCCAGAACCATGTTTTCCATGCTTGGCCTCACTAGAGTCCCTTCAATAAGTTCCTTATTGATATAGGAAGTCTATGCTTTTATGTGAAGAAAAGGAGACTTAAAAAGATTATGACCTGGGAACTTTAACATCCCCTAAGGTACTGCCTTTAATTTACTCTGGGATGAAATGAATCCTGCAGCCACAGCAAGGAACTCCATGTAGAGATAAATATTGATCAAATTTATTCATTGAATGAATAAAGTTGAAATTAAAATAAGCAGCACAATTCAAAAGAACAATTAAAGCCAAGAAGAAAAAAATAACACTATCTGGTGGGAAGTAGAAGAGAAACATTGGCAATTTCATTGGGCTATTACAACCATGGAGGTGATTATTTCTCCAGGGACTAACAAAAGCCTTAATTGCCTCAGAAAGTATTTCATTGTGTTCTTTTGACCAAAGTGACTTGATATAATAGATAAATTTTATTCTGCTCAGGGAAAACTGTGATAGTGCTGTTCTGAGGGAACATTGATATTACAGATTAGTTCTTTAAGACCAAACTGATTTTTCTTTTGCTGCTAAATGTTCATCGATGTGCAGTCTTCTAATCCAAAATTCATCAATGAATAATTTAAATAGTGTAAGTCAATTTTAACATAAGTATTGGGGTGTCGCTGTTGTTGTTATGTTGGGGTTTTTGTTTGTTTGTTTTTGAGACAGGTTCTCATGGTAGCCCAGGTTGACTTCAAATTTACTACATAACTGGAGTTGACCTTGAACTCCTGATCCTTCTGTATTTACCTTCTAAATGTTGGGATTACAGGCATGTGTCACCACATACAACAATTTATTTATTAGCTCTAAGAGTATAAAGAAAAATATATCACAAGCTCAAAAAGAAAAAGAAAAGAGAAACTGGTCTCCCAAAAGGAATTATCCCTTCTCTCCCACAAGAATCTTCACTCAGAAGAAACTCTTATGTGTATTTTTGGTTGGTGCCTCCCTTTTAAAATAGATAATGTTTTGAGTGTTTATTCATTCTCAATTCAGTACAGAGTCATTAATTCCTATTTTCTGAACTCTGTTTCATTTCTGTTTTTATCCTAAATAGGCAACACAGTCACAGACCTACGGCAAGGACAGGTCAGAATAATAAGTACAGATGTTTGCAATGAACCAGCTGGTTACAGTGGAAGCGTCTTGCCTGGAATGCTCTGTGCTGGAGTGCCTTCAGGTGCAGTGGATGCATGCCAGGTGAGTGCAAGACAACCTTATCGATGTCATCATCGAGAAGTTTATAGGCGTTATCAAGCACATTACTCTGTCCCGGGCATAAAGATAGCAACAACTACAACACACAACTCTGATCCTCAACAAATGTATGTCCTTAGTTATAGAAGAAAAAATCTTTTTTGAATCTCATCATAAAAATATTAACTTTTAATTTTTAATTGCTATGAATGGTCAAATACAACATGGTGGATACATTCAATGATAAATTATGGTATGTTTCAAAATTGCTAAAGAGTAAATTTTTATGGTTTTTATTACAAGGAACAATGTTAAGGTTTTGAAGTAGTAGAAATGTTAGCTAGTTTGATTTTAGCATTCAGTATTGCACCCATAAATCATAGAATCATTTTCCATCCTACAAATGTATATAATGATCAATTCACAATAAAAATAACCAGTTATTTAAAGTTTAAAAATAATAATTAATTTTTACTTTATACTATTTTATTTGTAAACACTCCTCATTATCAGCCCAATTGATAAAAATACTATAACATGCAACCACCAAAAATACAGAATTTTTAAGTACTTTAAAGATAGAAAACTTATACAATGTCTTGGTTATTTGAATCAAAGAGATCTTATATTATATAAGATATAATTTAACATATAAAAATAACAGAAAAGGAAAAGAAAGAAAGAAGAGAAGAGGGGAATAGAGAGAAAGAAGGAAGAGAAGGGGAAAGGGAGAAGTTGAAAAGAAACAAAAGGAAAAGAACTTTGTCTTTAGCCTGTAAAATTTTAAATTAAATGTCCAAAAACAAACAGTAAATGTACAATTGTCTCCTTATAGTGACTAGCATAAATTTTAATATCAAAATTTTAGTGAAATCAATGAAAGTGAATAGGTTCCATTTCTTTGTCTGAAATTAAGCCAATGTAGTCACAGGAGCCAATAGTTAAACATCATTATAAATACTCTAGTTTCTTCAGGAATCTGCTACTGTTCTCCTCGATGAGCTGTCCGCAACATGATAAGGTGTATTCTCCACCTCAAATGATGTTCTAGACATTGTTAATTATCCAGTCAGTTCTTTGTTCTCTTCAAGTGAGATGTTTCTTTGGCATGGAACCCTTGCCCACCTTCCATAACAACAAATTCTCAAGATTTATAATGTTTTCTTTTTATTTTATCTTAATTTTTTACTCTATTTTTATGTAAGAATTTTTTTTATTCATTTTACATACCAATCACAGCTCCCCCTCTCATCCCTCCTCCCACTCCCCTATCAAGCCTTACCCCCACCCCCAACTCCCTCTCCTCCCCTCCTATGAAAGGGTAAGGCATCCCATGAGTTTTCTAAAGAACTCAACAGTCACAGAGTAACCCAGGTTGACAATTTCAGATCTACTGAACATATTGGTTACAACAGCTTGAGGGAATAACACATTAAAATGTTCTTTTCGGTTTCGCTCTCTCATGCTTTCCCTCAGCTTCTGTATATACGAAATCTGCTCTTCATTTCAAGTATGTTCATGACATCACTATTGTGAAATTTTCCCTCCTTCCTCTCCAGGCCTCACTGGTTGTTACTTGAAACACTCTAACACACAGATTTTTTTCTGTCTCAAAAAATACAATAAATAAATAATTTTACTTAGACGTTTATAATATCAATTTTATACATTCATTCAAAAATACATCTATTCATGTCTGTGTAACATTTCTTGTGTTAATACAACTAGATGTTCTCTGCACTCATCAGGTTTAGAAACAAGAACACAAGTTCACACATCTGCCACTAGGCAGCAAAACTAACACAATAAAAATTACATGGCACTCATAGTTAGCACTTGCTTATACATAGTGGATAAGCTACAGTTCAGAAAACTTTGTCAATATAATAGGAAAAATAGTATCAAAAGTCTAACAACACAATACTGAGGACTAGTCAAATGGAGCACAAATGCATCATCCAAAGGAATGAGGTACCAGCCAGCTCCATGCAGTACTTGTCAAGCAAGCTGGTGACTCACATACTGACCTTTCACTCCAGCTAAACTATTAATTAAATAGGTATGGAAAAACTTAACTACTAAGAGCAGTCAAATGAATAGCTAACTTTTCCAGACATACGTTTGGTAATAGCAGCTGGGTTTTATTAGTACTGACTATACACCAAGCTGTGCCCAAAGTGCTTTGTGTGCTAAGATCACGTAAACTCATAAAAACATCATTTATTGATAAGAGAAATGCAGTGCCGAGCTGTTAAAGAGCTTACTGGAGTTCATTTAGCTGACAGGTGGAGGACTCAAACTCGGGCTATCTAGCTCCAGAATTCACAGAAATAACCTACGATACAGTATCTTCTAAATTTAACTGCCTAACCGGATTATTGTATGCATACGTGGTTTTAAGGCAGCTGGTGATTGCCACAGGCTGGAAAGTATCTCATAAGAAATGCTGTGCTTACTGTCATAAAAATTTCTTTCCAATTATTCACCAAAAGAATACTGGTGGATGATTTACTGTGCATCAAGCATCATCATACTGGGTAGTAAAGAAAGGTAGGTAAGCGACATGTCTATAAACTCATTCACTCAAAAGCTATTTCTGTAGCATCTCCTATGGGCTAGGGACCAAGGCTGCAGCAGTGTCCAGAACGAGGATGCTCTCTTCCCTGATGAACTTTTGAACAGCACTGCTCACACCGACACTGGCCAAGTATCAAAATACACAGCATGCTAACACAAGCAGAGCTGACCAGTGGGAATAAGCAAGACTTCATAAAAGATTGAAGAAGCAGCACCATAGATACCACAGAATATGAGGTCACAGCAAGAAACTAATAGAACCCCAAGACGGAAATGCAAAGGAAAGCAGCGGGTCATAGAAGGCTTCCTCAGGTGGAAGCCTGAGAAGAAGAGGAAGCAGCCAGGAAGTGACTGAAGGAAGGCTAGCTACTGAGCTTTACATCTTCTCAGCCTTGCTTGTATACTTGAAGGATTTCAGTATTTTTTCCCCCATGTCTTATTACCTTTCAGAAAGACATGGGCTGGTATAATGGCTAGGACTCCATCTGCTCCCATAAAAATAAACTGAAGATTTCCGTGTTGCTTTTACATTTAAATAATCAATTGCTTTGTTTCCTCCAGGGTGATTCTGGTGGCCCACTAGTACAAGAAGACTCACGGCGGCTTTGGTTTGTGGTGGGGATTGTGAGCTGGGGATATCAGTGCGGCCTGCCAAATAAGCCAGGCGTATATACCCGAGTGACAACCTACCGCGACTGGATCAGACAGCAGACTGGGATCTAGTGCAGCAAAGGCAAAGGTTCTGTGCCACACGTAGGCAAGTGTGCCTGACTCAGATGTCACAGCTTTGCTTTTCAACTGCAAAGGAAACGGGAAATGTCTCCCTTCAACATCCTAGTCTATAAATATGCCTTAACAAACAGTATTCAACATTTCTTTGTCAGTATGGAATTTTACTTTCTCAAGAAAAACCATGTGAACATTGCATTGTTTTGTGGCTAAACAGGAGAGGAAATAATGTTAAACTAGTTATAGGATTAATGATTTTGCTACAGGAACGATAAGCTGTAGTAGTGAGAAAGTGGATGCCTTGAGTAGAGGAACCTGGACAAGGAAGAAGAGTCAGGGGAGTTCTCTGATGACATCTCATTGAAGCTGGTAGTACGTAGAAAGTAGGATTGTGTGAAATAAGTCAGAGCATATTATGAATAGAATAGCCGTGTTAGGATAGAAAAACAGTATTTAGAATGTCTGGAAAGTCAATATTTTATAGAAAAAGTTAGTCCTAAAAATAAATTTTGAAGCCACTGTACAAAAATTGTAAAACCTGTAGCTAACCCAATTATTTGACAAGATTACGTTCCTATACAGATCTCCCAAGATGTTCTTGGGTATTGACCATCAGAGCTAAAACAGTTGTTTTCAAGTGAAACTAACAGACTTATAAGTAGTTTCAATGACGAAATTTAATTTTAAATGTTTTATCTACATAGAGAAGAGGACATATCTCCTTCATGGAGAAGCTCAGCGATGAATCCACACAGCCTGTTCTCAGCTATCTTTGCAACCACAAGGCTTGTTGGGAAGAAAATCCTACTACCAAAAAAGAAAGAAAGAAAGAAAGAAAGAAAGAAAGAAAGAAAGAAAGAAAGAAAGAAAGAAAGAAAGAAGGAAGGAAGGAAGGAAGGAAGGAAGGAAGGAAGGAAGGAAAGAAAGAAAGAAAAGAAAGAAAATCCTACTACCAACGTCCTACAAT